GGGGCAAGGCCGCCTCCACACCTGGCAACACCTTGACCAACCCCAGTGACATCCTTCAGGTTGAACCTGCTCTATCTTTTTTTGTTTTTTTACGTATAAAACAGGTTTTCCTGTGTAGCCCAGGTTGGCCCTGAACTGAAGGCCATCCTCCTGCCTCAGCTTCTTCGGTTCTGGGATGACAGGCGTGCTTGGACTCACTCTTAGAAGGGGCAGTTTAGATAGAAACTTACTTATTGGCCCCAGATCCTGCCACCTCAGGTCATCATGTCATCATGGACGGTTTTGGACGAGGCTGTTGTGTTTTTCTCATAGACTGAGGTGATGTTAGCCGTGGTGGTTTCCTCAGGCTGGGCACTCGGGAGGAGGCAGCTGTGTCCACCACACTTGGTCATTGCCTCTCATATTCCACCCTTCATCTGGGAGAATTTGAGGCCTTTTGGTACTGTCTCCTGGCTTGGGGGTGGGGTTGGGGACCCTAGCTATGTCCCCCTCTCCAGGGCCTCACTCTGGCACCACCATCCTGTATCCACTGTGGCAGAAGTTGCAGGTCCTCAGGGGAAGTGGTTTGAGGCTTCATCTTATTAAAGTGATTGGGGTGTTGGGTCTGTCTCTGGGACGTGTGTTTGCCTGCGCTGGCGCAGGGGGTGTTGACGCGGACGGACGAGTGAGCAGAGAGTAACTAGGAAGGAATGTGGTTTTCTTCCTGCCTGGGACATGCGCGGTACCATTGGCCAAGTGAGGAATTTCTTCCCCATTCAGCGTTGTGACCTCTTCCGTCCGTCTTCCCATCACTTCTTTGAGCCACTTCCTGTCTGTGCCGGGGTCTCAGTTTCCTCCTTTCCAGAACAGGATCGAATCTCTTTGGGAAAAGATTAGTTCTTCCTTTGTCAGGTTTCACACCATGAGGCAGAAAGTGCCCCTGTAGCTGAGGAGGAAGAGGTGGCGGGGACTTGGGTGGTAGCCACTGGGTGACCAGCCCAGCCACTCTTCCTGGTTGGAATTCCAACCTGGAGTCTTTACCCTTGGGCCATTCTGACTAGTCCTGGAGTCACTACTGTCAGGTGGACTTGGGACCTGGTGGCAGTGGCTGGCCCTTGCCCTGCTGCCCCAGCAGCTTTCTCTCCAGCACCGCCGTCATGCTGTTATTTTTAATTTTGGGTGTGCGTTACATCTCCTAACTAAGCTTGGCCTTCCTCATGTGAGGGCGCTTGTAGAGCTACACAGGCTACTGTGCACGAGCCCCAAGGAAGCCAGCTATGTCTGGCCACATGCTGACCAACCACGAGGGAGCCTGGGCAGTGTGGCTGGCAGCATTCAATTTTGGGGCAGTCCAACCCTGTGTTTATCTGGTAAGCTGACAGAGCACTTAAGTGGAAGGCAACTTTGAAGTTTAATCTCTTGTGAGCATCGGAGCTTCACTCCATCCTAGGTTTGTCTCAAAGTCATGATTCTTAAGTGCCAAAATGACAGACAGGCACCCACCATTATTGTTTGTTTAATTTTTTTAACACAGGGTTTCTCTGTGTAGACCTGGCTGACCTATAACTTGCCAGGTACAGCAGGCTGGCCTCTAACTCAACAGAGATCTTCCTGCCATTGCTTCCAGGGTGCTGAGACTAAAGGTGTGTGCCACCCATGCCTGGTTCCAATTTAAGCTTACCCTCTGAACATTGAGGGGAATGAGACAAGGGTAGCTGTGACAGCAAGAGAGGGCACATTTGGGATGGTGGAGAAACTTGGGTGAGAAGAGAAGCATGGGTCATCAACTGATGCTCATAGAGTCAGCACCTTCTGGTATCCCTGCTTTTAGTTAAAAGCAACCTGCACAGGCCAGTTACTTTTGCTTTTCCAGCAGCTGGGTCCTGAAGTCAACATTGAGCTGTGCCACCAGTTCTTTTTTTATAGACGTAGTCCTTCTGTAGCCTGAACTGGCTGTGAACTCTGCTGCCTTAGCCTCCCTGTGTTGGATTGACAGCCATGCCCCAGCACAATTCTATATTTTATTTTGAATTTCTAGGAGCTTTTTCTTAACTTCAGGTGTCCAGAGCAGGGACTTGAATGGCTGTGTGACCCAGGGAAGGAGCTGGGCATGTCTTGGTACAGGGATGGGAAATGTGTGGTGGCCTGTACTGGAACAGAAGGCCATGCCAGTTCAAGGCACAGACACAGGGATGACCGGAGCTCATCCCACCTGGAATTTGGGGCCTTTTCTCCTCTAATGTTAGAGAGGGGGGGGGTAGGGAAACTGCCCTGTTGTCCCAGGCTGGGTAGAATGAGGCAGGAGGGTTAGAAGTTCAAGGCCAGCCTGGGCTAAACAACCTAAAAAAAAAGTTTCCAAACCAAACTGGTGCTGATGTGGCACTTTATCTGTTTGTTTTGGGTCTCAGTGGATGTGGCTTTTAGGAGAAATAAGGAAATGTGATCCCCTTATCCTTCCAGGACAGCTAGTTGCTGCTGAGAGGCATGCCCCCTGATATCCATGAGATGGGACCCCTGCTTCCACCTATTTCATTGTAGTTTATCCTCGTTGGCTAGGTGGGCTTTGTGGCCACACACCCTGTCCTTGATGGAAAGGCACAGAGAGATCAGGAGAAATTGAGGGTTCCAGCAGGGTCCGCACAGCAGAGCCTTGAGAGGCCATGGGCTAGCAAGGACCTGACCCCTTCCAGTTCCAGACCTTTCTTGGATTTGCAGACTTCCATGTCCACTTGAGCCAGTTTCTACTGAGATTGGCTGTTGCCTGTGGCCTTATGTCCCTGGGCATCTGTCACTTGCCTGTAGCAAGCCACCTTCTGGGCCTATCCTGCCCTGTCCTCCCAAGCAAGAAACATCCTCCCCTGTCAGCATAGGGCTGGCCTATGGGCCCAGAGGCAGAGATAAGCCCCTCATGTTACACTTGATGTTCTAGAATCCTTAAGAGTTGGCAGAGATAGGCAAGTGAGATCCACCAGGGTAGATGTCAGTAAGGTGTGAAGTAGGGGCTGTGATAGTCAAATAGGGCTTAGAAGGGTATTAGAGGCCCTGCTCACTGTGCTTCGCCATGGGGAAAGCTGAGTATGGGACAGAAGGAGCCCCAGTTAAGCCTGCACCTTCCTGGCATGGCTCCCTGTCCATGGGAATTCCAGCCTTTTTGGAATTACAGAACGCTACCTTGGATAGAGTGGGACAGGGTTCCCACTTTGTTCTGAGGAAGATTTTGGGACTTGAAGTATGTCATTAACTTCTTTGTCCCAGGGTTCCTCTCAGTGCCCAGGGGACTCAGGCCAGTCTGCCAGTGCTCCTAGAGCAGACTCAGTGACTGAGTGACCCTCCCACCTTACTGTCATGTCTATGGTGTACCCTGTTTTTAGAGAAAGCTGGAGTGTGACAGGATCACCTCCTCTTGTGCCCTGCTTGCCCTGTGCCAACCATCCCATTCAGCCCCATCAGGGAGCAGTGCTCAGTCTTCAGGTGAGGTCACGGGTGGTGGCTCTAGAGGCTGAGTCACCTCTCAGGATCTCTAAGCAGGGAGGAGGCTCAGGAGCCAGGCATCAAGGCCTCAGAAGGGCTGTGGCTCTGCTAGGCAGGGTGGAGCATGCTGGTGTGGGCATCAGGAGCATGGTGGCCTTGTGTCTTTGGCCTGCTAGGGCATGGATTCCCCATGTGTGTCGAAAGGTAGGTGCTGGATGGTGCTGAGGCTGAGTCCTGCTGAGGACTAGAGCAAGAGGGAAGCAGCCTGGAGCTGGAGTCTTTGGGGGGGAGGTGGAGGGAGTGGGGGTGTAATGGGTGTGTGTGCTGAGGACCTGGGTCCTCCCTGGCCACTGTGACCCTTGACTGTGTTTCCGGTTGCCTGACTGTGGCCACAGTGACTGTGTGTAAACACCAGGCACTCAGAACCCACCCCTCTGTTGACTCATCTGCAGGCCAGAGTTCATCACCCTGCAAGCAGTTTTGACAGCACACTGGATTGTGACATCCTGGTGGCCTTGAGGGAGGGACTGCCCTGCATGGAAAACATGGCTACTTTTCCCTACTCAATCTGCTAGTTCCTAGGCCTAAGCTGGACTCCAGGAGACCCCAGGATGGGGCTAGCAGGTGGTTCTGCTGGTTGACCTGGGTAGATTTATGTCAGTTCTGCAGCCCCATGGGTGACCTCACACTAGGTGGATATTTTGTCTGTTTTCATCTTCTTAAACAGGTGTCATGTAACACAGTCTGGCCCTCTCTGCTTCCCAAGTGACTGGGTGACAGGTGTTTGCCACACACCCAGTTGTGTCACTTTTCAATAAAAAGAGAAGCTGGTGTCCAAATAGGCCATCCTGAGGAGACTGTCCCACACTCATTGTCACAGCCTTGTGCTCTAATGACATCCTGGAGGCAGGAGCCTCCCTGGCCAAGAGATCATGCAGCTCCCTGCTGAGGGTGGGCGCTGGCATCCAAGTGATCCAGTCCCTAGATGTCCGTTAGCAGTACATGGAAGCCTGTCTCATTTTTACTGTGTGAACAACTAGCATGGAGGGGAAGCCCACAGAAAACAGCTGTGACTGTCCCTGCAGCCTGTAGGGCATGCCCATCTTCTCCCACCTCCCAACCCCCTAGATAGGGTTTCTCTGTGTAGCCATGTCTGTCCTGGAACTTGATCTGTAGACCAGGCTGGCCACAGAGATTCGCCTGCCTCTGCCTCCTATGTGCTGGGATTAAAGGGCTACACCATCCCCACCACATACTCTTTTTTTTTACATTTCAATCCCAGTTCCCACCTCTCTAATCTCCTTTGCTCTCCCCTCCCCCCATCCCACCTCCCATCTGCTCCTCAGAAAGGGTAAAGCTTCCCCTAGGATAGCAACTAAGTCTGTCCCATCACCTTGTTGAGGCAGGACCAAGCTCCACCACCAATGCCTAGGCTGAGCAAGGTATCTCTCCATAGAGAATGGGATCCACTAAGTCAGTTTATGCATTAGAGTTAGATCTTGGACCCACACTGCCCGTGGCCTTATACACTGCCCAAGCCTCACCATGGTCACCTGTATTCAGGGGTCTTAGTTCAATCCTATGCCAGTTCCCCACTTGACAGTGCAGAGTCAGTGATAGCTCTGGTCAGCTGATTCTGTGGGTTTCTCCATCATGGTCTTGACTCCTTTGTTCATATTATTGTTCTTCCCTCACTTCGATTGTATTCCAGGAGGTTGGCCCAATGGTTAGTTGTGGATTTCTGCGTCTGCTTCCATCTGTTTCTGGAAGAGGTTCTAGTTTCTCAGGGGTTGTGGATTGTAGGCTGGTTATACTTTGCTTTATGTCTGATATCTACTTATAAGTGAGTACATACTACATTTGTCTTTCTGGGTCTGGGTTACCTCACTCAGGATGGTTTTTTCTAGTTCTGCCCATTTGCTTGCAAATTTAAAGTTGTCATTGTTTCTTACAACTGCCTAGTACTCTATTGTGTAAATGTACCACATTTTCTTTATCCATTCTTTGGTTGAGGGGCATCTAGGCGGTTTCCAAGTTGTGGCTATTACGGATATTGTTGCTATGAACATAGTTGAGCAAATGTCCATAGTTGAGCAAGTGTGCCTCCTTTGAGTTGATGGACAGATACACATGGGGTTTTGTTTCTTTCTGCCCTGGTCATAGACAGTTTATTGTCCCTTAAACCTTAAAGCCTATGTGGTTGGCTACCACTGAGCTGTACCTCAGCCCAAGCATTCCTGGTTGGTCTGTCTGTTTTTAATTTTTATTTTGTGTGAATGGCTGTTCCTATCTATGTACCACTTTCATGCCTGGTGCCAGATGAGGGCATCAGATCCCCTGAAATTGGAGTTACAGATGGTTGTGGGCCACTGTGTGGGGTGCTGGGCCTGAACCTGAATCCTCTGCAAGAGCAACTGGTGCTCTGGGCTGCTGAGCTTTCTGTTTCTTGTTTGTAGCTCTGGGGATGGAGCCCAACACTAGAGTGTACTGGGTAGACAGTGACCTCCCCCTGCACCTCCCACACTGTAAGTGACAGGGCTCCCTGTCGCTTGGTCAGACATGTATGCCAGGTATGGGGACCCTGGGGATGCCTGCTGTGGGAACCTTGAGTAGCGGCAGCACTGTTGTGCTTTCCTAGTGCACACCAGTGTTTTGGGGGAGGTCCATGAAGTCAGAGGCCTGTGATCTTTTGAGGAGGAGGCTTAGTGCTAGGTGTTGCTGGTGTGGCCCTCAGGAGAGGTGTGCTGATCAGAGATTGCCAAGCTGGAGGCAGAGAGGCCCGGAGGAGGCCATGGGCAGAAGCTCCAGGGCCTGGGTTGGGGCAGTGCCCCAGGGGCAGGACAAGTGCATGAGGCCTGTCTGAGAAGGTGGGCATCTCATTTAGAGCTAGGCTGGCTCCACCTCTTAGGTGCTGGGATGACTGGTATAACAACTGCCTTTTCTTTACGTCCTCCCTCCCTCCCTCCCTTCTCTCTCTCCTTCCTTCCTTTTTCTTTTCTCTCCTTATCCCTGTGTTTCTCTCTTAGCCACTTTCATTCTTCCTCTTTTTATGGAAATGGAACCCCAGGGCCTGGCCGTGTGTGTGTGTGTGTGTGTGTGTGTGTGTGTGTGTGTGTGTGTGTGTGTGTGTGTGTGTGTGTGTGTGTGTGTGTGTGTGTATGTGTATGTGTATGTGTATGTGTGTGTACATGTGTGCTGTGGTTTGTGTGTGTGCAGGACACAAACAAGTGTCAGAGGACAACTTGTAGGAGTTGATTTTTCTACTTCCACCACACAGGTCCTGGGAATTGAACTCAGGGTGATGGGTGCTATTACCCACAGTCATCTGGTGAGCACTATATATGCAGTTTGAAGGTGGTTTGAATGGGTGTGGCATTTTCCAAGTAGCCTGTTGGTCCTGGTTCTTAAGTGACTCAGCATCAGATGTCAAGGTCAGCATATTGCATTGGTGTTGACTGGCCCAGTGGGAGGGGCTGGGGCTGGGGGTAGAGACTTCCATCACCTGGGCAAGTTTGACTGGAAATGCAGAGAAGGCAGCTGCAAAACCTCAGTGTCTCTTGGACCACACCTCTAGCTGTATGTGGCAGCAGGCATTGTGGCAGCCCACCTAGGATTCTTGAGAGGTGTCGATGCAGTTCCTGGAGGTCTAGTAGCCCTTCTGGTCATCTTTTGCAAGCAGGACCAAGCTCAGGACCAAGTGCTCTCTTTCTCCCCCCTTCCCCTTTTCCCTTCTCCTTCCCTCCCCCTCTCTCTCCCTGTCCTGGATCCCACTCTTTAGACCAAACTGGCCTTGAACTCACAGAGATCTGCCTGCCTCTGCCTCTTGAATGCTGGGATTAAAGGAGTGCATCATTGCTACCCAGGTAGGGATGCCACTCTTGATATGTTCTGCTGAATTCTTCCACAGTGACTGTCCTACATGCTTGGAAAGGGTGTAACAAAGCCATGTCTCCCTCAAAAAGCCAAGGGACAGTCACTGGTTCTGGTTCTTCAAGGCCACTATGCCACCCAGTGACCTTGGTGTCTGTGGGGGCATCAGGATGGTGCATGTCTTATTTTAGTGAAGACATGACCCTACTCTTACTAGCACTTTGCCCTCTGAAAGCTGGGTGGCCAGTGCTGTGCCTTCCATGCCCATGCCACAGATCACTCAGTCAGCAGGATGGTGGGTTTCCTTGGGTGCCTGCATGGCTCCCTCTGGGCAGGCTACAGGTCATAAGAAATGACCAGAAACTTTTGAGAAGCCCTGTGTTGTTTTCATAGTGTGCACCATCACTCCCCCCTGGGCATGTGAAAATCTTTAGTTGCTATCTCCTGGCCATCTTGCTGCTTTTTATTTGTTTGTGTTTTGAGAAAGGGGCTCTCTACAAAGCCCAGGCTGCCCTAGAACTCATTATTAGACCAGGATAGCCTTGAACTCATAGAGAACCCCTTGCCTTTGTCTCCTGAGTGCTGGAAATGCTCCACCACACTCGGCCCAGGCTAGCCTCAGACGTGCATGTACTCCTTTCACCCCAGTGTTGGGGTGACATTGGGATGACTATCCCTGCAGTTTTTCCTTTAGAGTTATCTTTATTGTGGTATTTTTGATACAGAGTTTCTGTGTGTAGCCCTGGCTGTCCTGGAACTCACGATGTAGATCCACTGGAGTCTCTCTTCCCACCTTCATGTAGATCTAGAAGCAGACCCCAATCGTCAGGCTTGAAGGCAAGCGTCTTTACCATGGATGTGGGTTGTGCCACGTGAGAGGAAGGTCCACTTGGCCTCACTGGCTTAGTGAGGTGGTGTTACCACTGCCCATTGCTGGAAAGGCTTCCAAGCCAGCACCCTTGGGATGCAGGATAAGGAGGCTTGGGAGAGCCTTGGTGGCCCTTAAGCCACAGAGGGGAAGGAGGAGCTTAGTCCTCACAGTTCCTCAGCCTTATAGCAGCAGGGCTCCATCTTCTGATTGGCCACAGGCCCTGGCAAGTATCCCCTGCTTGAATGCAGATTCAGCTGTCCTAGCCCCCTTGACTACAGTTTGGCAGTGGCCTCAGGCATGGTGCTGGCCTTGCCTAGCACTGTGAAAGAGAAAAGGTGGCCTATGGGGAACTTAGGTTTCTCCTGGCTGGAGCAGCCCCAAGGCCATGAAGCCAGGAGTTGCCCTCTGGGGGTGTTTGGGGGTGTTGAGCAGGTGGGCAGCCTTGGCTCTCAGGCCTTCTTGCCTCCTTGCCTGTGTGTCATCCTTCCCCCTTGTTCCCACTCCTAGACTGGTCTCATGTTGCTGGCTGCAGGTGAGTGGGAAGGAGGGGAGGAATGAGAGTTTCTGGGATCACATTTGTGGGCTGTTGGGAGAAGCCCTAGCCTCCAGCAGGGGTATATGTGTACGCAGGTGCACATGGGTGGTGTGGGTGCCCTGTCCTGCCCTGCAAACACCAGGTCAGGCCCCTCCGTTCAGGAGCTGATCTGAGCTGAGTCCTTGTCACCTGCCTTTCCTAGTGAATGCCAACCTTTAGGCCTAGGTAACTCGGGGCCTCGTTGCCTTCTCCCAACTGGTTTGGAGGGAGGCACTTTTTCTCTCTGTCTCTCTCTCTTGTGTCCCTCACTTCTCTCACACTGTTTGTTTGTTTGTTTGTTTTTTGAAATAGGGTCTTTCTATGTCGTCTTGACTGTCCTGGAACTTTGTGCATAGACCAGGCTGGCCTCGAGCTCCCAGAGATCTGCTGCCTCTGCTCCCTGGGTGCTTGGTTAGAGGCATGTGCTCCACCACAACTGGCTCTCACTAGTTTATTAGCATGGGTCTGTGGGACAGGGAACACATATGAAGGCCAGAGGACGGCATTATGAGTTGCTTCTTTCCTTCTGTCTTCATGTGGGGGTTCACAGGTCACCAGGACTGCAAAGCAAGTGACTATCTTCTGAGCTGACTCTGTGGCTCCCTCTCTCTGGGCTTTTTTTTTTTTTTTTTTTTT